TTCAGGACCTCAAGACAGGGTTGGGGTGGAGCTGTTGTTCAAAACTGTTTAAACGCATCGATCGGTTTGAGCAGACTCGGGATGTGGCGCAATGAGGGAACTGTTTAAACAAGCGTGTAAACATCGCTTGAAACACATTCGCCACGGTTCGAGCTTCATGTGTGTCACTTGAGGAGTTGGCACATGTGTGTCATGTGTTTAAAAATGCTGAAACGCCTTCCTGACATGTTTAAGCCATGGCTTAAGCCTAGCAGTGCAACGACACACAACAAACATCCGCACCCTGGCTTTCAACTCATTGACACCCTTTAAATGCCTTTAAACCTAAACTCAAACGCTTTTGAAGCGACCCCCGCCTCCAGGTCGAGGCCCTTGCCGAAGTGGCACCCTCCGGGCCCGGAGCCCTCGACGGGGAAGTTCAGCACCATGGAGTCGCCGAACAATCGGGCCCTGACGTTGCCTGTCTCCTTGTACCTGAAGCTTGAGAGCCGGAGGTCGTAGTGGCAGTCGACCTCAACCGACAGGTCTTTAACGGAAAATGTGACGAGGCCACCCTGAGTGGAGACGTGCGTCCCCTTCCCGACGTGGGCGGCCTTCATCTGGATATCATACAAGCGCCCTGATTGCACCAGGCCGTTTTGCGTCGGCCTGAGCATGATCTGCTCTGTGAGCTCCTTATTCGAAAGGAGCTCCTGCACCAGGTGAGCACCACTCGCCGTGGTGTCAACGGAGGCTGCCGGTGCTCCCCCTTGATTGCCTTCTATGTCGAAGGTCTTCAAAATGAAGCTGGCCGCTTTCGCCACATCCTCCCTCAGCAGCGAGCCCAAGTCCTCGCTGAGGCCGCGCAGGCCACGCAGGTGTCGCGCGTCAGCTGCCCCAGCGGCCAAGGAAAACAGCAGCCACGCTAAGGCAGCCATGGCCCGGACAGGATAGGAAGGAAGTATTCTGCGGGTTCATGGACTCTCAGGCAGGTGGGCATGTCTTCATTGCAAATGACATCAAGCAGAAGTTACCAAAATAACCTCGAAGTAGCCAAAAGCAAGGCTTTCGCTGGCGAGGCTGTGCATCGTGCAGCGTGCAACGCTCCGTCCTTTGTCCCGTTGCACCAGCCCCAACCCAATAGCACGTTTTCGACTGCCTGCAGGTGCCGATGCTTGGAGAACTTGGCCCCAGCTCAGCTGCCACAAAGTTCCACGGCAGCTCCGGCGCCCCTGCAGACGTCGCAAGAGAAAGCAGGAGAAAGGACATGGGAAGGCTGACAGAGACCGACGATGCAGCTCGACGCTGCGAGGCATGCATCCGCTCCCATCTCTGTCGCTGTCGATCTGCTTCCAGGAAACCAGCCCACAATGCTCTGGCTACCACGAAACACCTGTTGCAAAAAAAAGCCCTTGAACAAGAAGGTTTCACGTGCAGCGATGCCCTCCCGGAGTCCGACTAAACTCCTTCACATTCATTCGGCACACCGCCCGACCACTATCAGGAAACAATGGGAGATGCCTGCGCCATTTTGGTAAGGGTCTGCTTGCCTCCAGCATCCTTAGGCCGGCAGATCTGTCGAAATACGGCGCGAACCGTTCTCGGCCACTTGCCTACACGAGAGCGAAAAAGACTTAACAAGCAACATGTGGTCGTCACATGAGACTTAACACATATACACATTCTTTGACAGGGTTGGTGCCACCAAGGCCCATGATGCTGCGAGCAAGAGACTGGTCGACTCCAGAGAATGGCTGCAAAGCACTTCAAAAGGGAGTCGGACAACATCGGTAGACACCTGGCGCTGACCTCGCGCCGGCTGCTCTTTCAGAAGGCCTTCCACCTCACGGCCGCAAGTCTGACCCCAGCATGGACCCGTGAAATTGTAAACACACAGCTCGACCACCTTTACTTGTCCTGCATCCTACAGAAGATTTTCGAACAAAACGGATTGAATTTCGGGGCAGCCCTATCAGACACTTCGAAGGAGAAACGCTCGCGTCTTCCGGACGCCACAAAGAGATCGGATAGTGTGAAACACAACCCAATCTACAGCACTCCAGCTCCACTGCGCGGACGGGGTAGCGCAGGCTGCCCTGTCGAGCCTTGTGCTGAAACGTCACCTCTGCAGGGGATCGCTCGATGCGGTTGCTCTGGCGGTGCATGAGAGTAACCTCGGAAGGCCCAGAATGCGATCATGTCGAAGCACTGGGCTAGCTACCCAGAAAGTGCCTATAGCATGGCAGGTAGCAGTTATTGAGCACATAACCAACATCACTTGTGTTGGTGTCGGCCAGTAACCCTGCGCATGTTCATGTGCTGGAGGTGCATTTTCTGTCAGCGGGTCGGCGGCAACTTCCAGAATTGGCCCAATCTTGCTTGTAACTACTACGTTGCAACGAGAAGAGCCCGCCACGAATTGTCATCCCGGCCAGGTTCAAGAAAGAGACAAGATTTTCCCCAGCGCCGTTGCAGCGATGCCCTTGCGCCAAAGTTCCGCTGTTGCGCGCGCCGATGTGCACGGTCGAAGGCCGCACGATCTCTGCGCTAATTAGATAGGCATGTTAGCTTTTTTCGATTTAGCCGATGCTCAAAGTCTCAAATTCACCGCGCCTCGCGTGGAAGTTGGATCCTCAACTGCTCTCTTGAGACACTCTCATCATACCTCTCTGTGTGACCTTTAGAACTGGAAGACATATCCGCCGAGGCCGGAGGCCCCAGGCGTTTAGATCAGTGGGTTCGGGGAGTTTGGGTGGTTGTAGTAGAGTAGTAACCCACCCCCTACCCCCTCCCTTTGGTCGGCTCCAATTTCGCTGCTTTCTTGCGGGGGAGGGGGGAGGGCGCGGGGAGGGTGGGGGGGCCGGGTAGAGGAGAGGGGGAGAGGGGGGTGGGGGCAGGCTTTGGAAGAGGGGGGGGGGTGTATTTGGAAGCTGGCTTTTGTATTTTAGTGAGGAAATACTTAGCTAAA